TCTCAAAAGATCCAACCAGTTTAGGAGAATTTAGCCAGTCCTGAGCTAATAATTCAAAGCAATCTGAAATAAAAGTATAATAATAGAATATAATAAAACTAGATATATTAAACATTCTAACCAATACTGTTTATAAAAGTAACATCAAATAAATAATAAAGTATACCTTACTTACAGAACACAGAACTTCAAGTAATGTCGTAGATTTATGTTACTAACTCGAACTTCTGGGTTAAGCGACACGAAAAACTCACGAACCTTAGTAAATAACACAAAAATAGCTTCAAGTGGATATAAAAGTTAAGTTTTTACCATCGTATCACACAACGTTTCACCTCTAAGCAGAATATTTGCAAACGTAAACCGAAACAATACATCGAAACCGATTATCACAAAGAAATTTCTCACAATATCTTAGAAGATAGGATAATTTCATTAACATATAAGTGTAGGAAAAACGTCGATATACATTCTTTGTTAATTAATTAAAATTATTTTACTTTTATTTTATGTGTGTCTTGTTTCCTATTTAGTTTATTATGGTTGTTGTTGTTTTTTACATTCACTCATGCAATAACTCCTAATGAAAGAAAACTACCTACATATACCAGCAATAATATATATATATATTTTTTCTTGAACCTTCTAACTTCGCAGGCTACATTCTGTCCCACCGATGTGAACTACTGGTCAAATACATCAGTTCAAAAGTAGGTTTGACTAGAGTAGACAGTTCTCGAGTAAATTTGTGCGATTATTCGGAAAAAAACCAAACCAACCGCATTTGCTGCTATATATGTGGAAAATAGACCTGGAAAATGCTTAGTTCTACACATTTCCGCGCTAGCCGTCCCTAATTTAGCAGTGTAAGACTAGAGGGAAGGCAGCTAGTCCTCACCACCCATCGCCAATTCTTGGGCTACTCTTTTACCAACGAATAGTGGGATTGACTGTCATATTATAACGCCCCACAGCTGAAAGGGCGAGCATGTTTGGTGGGACGGGGATTCAAACCCACGACCCGCAGATTGCGAGTCGTGTGTCCTAACCACTTGGCCATGCCGGGCCCTGACAAAGGTAGCTAGCTTCTCGGCAATTGTATACATCGACTTCAAGTTAACTCGCTGGATATCAAGGAGACTCTGAACTAGAAAGAAGATTTTGTGTTGTTTGTAAGTTAGTGAAATTTTTCTAAAATTTTGCTTGTGGTAACTATTCGTAATAATTGTTGTTGTAAATTGTACTGCTGTATATACATATTAAAACGTATTTGTGTGAAAAACGAAAATGGTGTGTGTCAGTCTTGTTGGCAAATAGCGTAAATTAACTCAAATATCGGCTTCGGAATATTTCAAATTCGCAATACGTAACATAATATATCATCACACCTTTTTGTGACCAACAAAGCCTAAAAATAACTATACATTCAAGCGTGAACTGTAAATGCATGGATTTTACACACATTTACATACATGGATGTATTATATCAAGCAGCATTTGGTCTACATATAAGTTGAATGTCCACCGTGCAGAGAAGCTGTAAAATATAAAGTATGCTTTCAAAGTAGCATAGTACAATATTACATTGTTACTTACACATATATATATATATATATAACAAAGAGACAGTATGATATAGGCTATACAACAAGATGTATACATCATTTGCTGTTGTAGTTCTGGACATCCTAGTCACTTGAAATCTGATATAAACCGGATAACAGCCGATTTTAAGTTGAGATCAGGGAAATTCCTGTAAATAATTTCATAACGATTCCATTTACTATTTCTCCTGCAGGTCTGAGAAAAAGTATCCTTCAAAAATATCCGTTCTTTTTATTGTAACAGCTAAACATTGTATTTAGTTTGTGCGAAATTTTGCACAGTCGTATAGTAAACGGTATGTACCAAATTTTATAAAAATGGAAGTTTGGAAAGTATGTTTTTTAAACTTTTAAAACTTCGGTACAATTTGGTGCATAGAAGAGGAAGACGACGAAGAAAATCACACGAACTTTGACATCGTATATCTCAGTTTTAGCTACACAGATGTTCTTGAAATTTGGAACGTGAGGTAAGAAAACTAGGAGACAATATAGGTTATGGTTCCTGTAAGGAGCACATTGTGTGCCGTGCGTCTCAATTTTTTTTTCTTGGATGCACGAAACACTACCGTGTGTATTTGAGGCCCGGCATTGCGAGATGGTTAGAGCACTCGACTCGCAATCTGAGGGTCGTGGGTTCGAATTCCTGTCACAGCGAAACATGCTCACCTGGTGTCCGAACTAGGACGTGAGTTCTACTCCCGGATACTCACCTCCAACAGAATTTGGAGGTGTGAGAAACACCATACGAAACTATTACTACTACCGTGTGTCTTGATGGTCTACAAGAAAATATGATTATTTCACATTTTTATAAATACATCAAATTTACTGTTTATCATTACAGAATATACTTTACAACGACAATGTAAAACCACAGACTTGATAAGCCTACTGAAACGTTTAGTAACAAAACTTCAAGATACACTAGTATACATAAACAGCTTAACTTGTAAAATTTTGAATTAACTTTCACACCACATTATGCTCATTTTACTATTTCAATTAGAGTTTATATTTTCATTTATGTAGCATCATACCTAAACAAACACTGACTTTATCACGAGATATTTTAACATAGATTTTGAAACATATTAAGGTAATATGTGATTTATTATCGTTTACACTTATACAAAGAACATCAAATTTTATTATTCACTTTATCAGTTACAATCAGTGATAAATCTCAAAGTAACAAATTTTGAACAAGTACACTCGAAGCCTAACTAAAGATCAAAGTTAGATTATTATGTGTCTAGCTTAATCTTTTATGGTGAACTTGATAGACAAGACAAACGAACATCTAAGAAAGTTGCTAAAACACAGACGAGAGACAGTCTTATATTTATTTGGTTGGTCTCACTAAGGAAGATATATAAAACTTAAAAGATTAGACAATAGATTAATTCTAATGCTTATTGTAAGTATTAGAAGTGAGAAACATTTTCAACAGTAAAGGTGATATGATAAGTTGAGACAAGTTGATATCTGTATGCAGTCCTATAGAAGTATAGTAACACTGCCCGCCTACAGAACCTTAGTAACACCACCTGCCTTTGTAAAACACATGTAATACAGTTAAATGTATAAAAGAAAACTATAAACATGTGTTGAGACAAGTTGATATTCGTATGCAGTCCTATCCGTCTATAGAAACACTATACTTTGTAAGACTATATGCCTATAGAAACACTATACTTTGTAAGACTATTTGCCTATAGAAACACTGTTCGTCTGCGTAAGATGTAAACAGTTAAATATATAAACGAAAAACTATAAAGGTGATGAAAACTAGACATTAAAATGCAGGTTTAATGTTTTACTTATAAAGGAAATTAGATAAATATTAATCCTAAGGCTTTGATTATTAGTATAAAGATCAAATGTTTATCTACATCCCCCTCTGGTGGTTTGCTCATGAACTATCAGCGCACTCATCATACCAACGCGCCCTCTGGTGTCACTTTGTGGAACTATGTCGCGCACTCTGGAGTTTATTATGTAACAGTCATGTACCCCTCAGATGTATATATTACTTAATAGTTATGTGACCATCAGGTGTATATATTACGTAATAGTAATGTAACCATCAGGCAGCATCACTTATCTATTACGCAACAGTTGTATAACCCAAGGTGACATCCTCTGATCTCCATTCACCACACGACCCCCCACTGAGGTGGCATCCTTTGGACGGTGAACAGTCCATTATAACTACTATGGTATAATTTAATTTTATATTCATAGTAAGCATTTCATATGAATTATGCATTACTTACATTTAAATTTCGTTTCATACGACTTAGTGTTATAAGTTCAGTGTTTTTCCATTTTTAAACTATTGATCTTCTCAATAATTATCTATTTTTTTCCTTCGATATTAGTACGTTATTATTTAATTATGTTAAATAAAGTTAGTTTAAACCAATTCCTCATTCAAAGCAACTGATTGTTTAAAACTAATCACAAATATTTAATTCTCAACACGTGTTTATAACACATATACACGCACTAATGCTGAAATTGTTACGTTTTGGTTCACAGTGTTACAAAGTTTAATAACTATTTTTAGAGTTTCAATGCTGTCCAGTCTTGTTTTTTGCCGCCTCAAGACAAGAAACATTTTTTACCCCCTAAAAAATGTTTGTGATGTAACAGAAAAATAAGCTTCATAACTATTTTAATAATTATTTAACGTTACACAAATAGTTATATTAATCATTTGAAAAATAATTATTAAAACTTCCGAACAGCTAATTTAATAAGTTGAATGAGATTTATGGAACGTTAAAAATACCTGTGTCAGTTGATTAAAAAATATATTTTTGCTGCACTTTGGAATTTTAGAAAAACAACTGTTTCAATCTATTTGGTAAAAAGTTATAGAAGTTAAGGTAAATGGTTATGCAAGAATTTATAAAAAAAATTAAAAATTTCTAGAACTACTAGGCTACACCCTACTCGAACCATTTAGAAGATTGAGTGTAAATTTAACCTATGTACATTATTTCAGCGTGCGAATTCTTTAAAGCGTAAATTTTATAATTCAAATTTAATTTTCCATCAAACGTGGTTTTACATACCCCTAAAATGCTCTGTAACGAACTTAGGGTAGAAAGCAAAAATATGACACTCTTACCATGTACATTTTAGTTTATGAAAATAAACCATCACTATCATGGACTATGGTTCAAGTTATTTGATAATTTAAAGCAAAACTTGTAAAACTGTAATCGTACTGATGTTCTGAACAAATGAAAAATAAAACAAACTAGTCACAAAAGCATGCTAACTCATCGTTTTATTAAACATTGTCAAACGTCGTAACAAGAATTAGATAAACTAGCCACCAATAGCACGCTATATCAACTATTTAAGTTTCTATCACTTAAAAATATTTAAACGGTAAATGACTAGAAACCGTAGCACACATGTCAAGAATTTAATCGGTCGATTGGAATGTATTTAATTTCTTACGTTAAATGTTTTATATATATATATACACTGTATATATATTACATGGAATTAGTTTTCTGTAACCAGTTAAATTAGATTATATTTTAAATTAGTAACTAAGCATATTCGTTCAAAATGTTAAAGGCTTGTTTTATTTTGGTGGAGGAACATTTGCAGTAAAACTACCAATAATGTTTCCAGCAGGGTTATAGTTTGCAACAACAATGATCTTGTTGGCTTTACCACAAGCCTTACCTACGCCCATTTCGGTGCTAGAACGCCACACGACTTGCGTGAAATGACCTGAAAATAAAATATGTGGTTCATCTATTTAAAAAGATATTACAGGAGTTTCATGTATTATGGAGTAACCTATGTATTAAAAAGGAGCTTACTAGATGATTAGAAAATAAATTTTCTTACTTTGAAGATATACTTACCATACTAAAATGCTCACGAATGTCACAATGACACAGTCTTTTATCAGATAACTTTCAGCTCGTAAATACAAAATATGACATGAATATGTCTTATCGATCTATGCAAGTTAGGCTTACCATTCTTGGGTAGCTGTACTTTACATATATATTTTAAATTTCTTGTCTTTTTTTATAGTCATACAATTCTGACACTATAAGTGACCTTTTTTCTTAAATTAAAAAGGCACGAAACAGGGTAATTATATAAATAAATAACATATTTTAGATAAATATTAATTTTTACATTAAAGTTACAAAAGTAGTAGTAGTTCTAAGTTAAGTCAGTATTTAGGAATTTTTTCGACGTTTCGAGAGTTTGCAAAATTTTCTTTGTACGAGTCCGCGAGACAAAAATCCATTAATTACTGACCTATCTGAGGTAATCACGAAATATGTTGTATGATCTTATTCAATTTAAACTGTACAAATGACAATGGTTCAGTTAAGATGTGTGACCATTTGTTTTAGTTTTTACAAGCTTAGACCTCTAGTAATGATAAAAATAAGTGTGAGTGCTTATTTATGTACCTTGTGAATTTGTCTGTGAAACTATACAAAATATCTTGAAAACTGATAAACGTTGAAATTGGTCGCAATAAAATGGGTTGGATGTTGAATAAGTAACTTTGTTTATTTATTCTGTAAAATTCCAGTAATCAAAATCTACATAGCTTGAGTTGTCACTTACAGTTACATCATGTTCACCTAGTGATTCTACGACATGAAAACATGTGTCACAGTGGAAAGTATTGGATTATTTTTACATTGAATTTTCATTTACATAAAAACAAATATGGGCACAGTTATCTTTTCCATTAAAAATACTTGATTTTAAACTAATTTTGCTCATTCGATTAATTTTGTTTCATTGGTCTCTATAGAAAGTTGAAAGGTTTCCTCTGTTAGTTTTATTCGATTTATATGTAGTCTTATATATTTGATTCCCAATCTAGGGTTGCCATCTATAGGTTGGTCACAAACTAATTATATGAAAATTATTCATTCATGTGAAGCTGGTGTCAAATTAAAGCAAAACAAAAATCAACATTTGCTTTCTCTCCTGCCTTATGGTAAAAATCAATTACCCAATCATAAATCCAAAATGTTTACTTATTTTCTAAACCACAATAAAATTTGTCGTAATTGTGAAAGTTATCAATGCTAAAGATACATTAAAAATTACGAAAGAAGTCGTAGGCTACAGAAAATTTCTTCTTCAGAATTAGTTCATTTGAAGTTCTCATATTTGTAGGAACAAAATATGATAAAGTTTGGTAAAACATGACAAAATATAGTTTCGTAATGTTACGATTAGTACCCACCTGAGTTAAAGAAACTTGGTTCTTCACCGAATGGATATTTATCAATCTCGCTATACCATTCGTCAACTGGAGCTTCACCTGAACTCGTGGAACAAAACAACTTTAAAATGCGAAACTTAAAATATATCGAATACCAAAAAATCTAAAAAATCACAGAAAATTTTTTACAGTTTAGAAAAAAAAAATGCGTGACAAACATTTTTTGAATCTTCAACTACATTAATTTAAAATATTTTTAAGGTACCAGTAATTATTTGCAAACAATGTAAAACTTTTAATTTCATTTAAATATAATACATCAACGTTTTATAAAGAAACAGTCTGTGCATTAATATACTGAAATATATACTCTCAGCGAACTTGCAGTATTTCTTCTTTACAAAATTCGTATATTTTTATTATATTATTTTCAAATGAATACCTTAAAATAAATACGTCTTTTTTGCTCATTACAGTGAACAGGTTTTGACTTCTATTAAACTTCATTTTTATCAATAAAAAAAATTCATTTTCAGTCAATTTTCATTTCTTTCTCATAAATATAGGATTTTTATTATTTTTGTAACAAACGTGATCCGATAGTGTCAAACATATTCTTTATTTTAAATCAATATACTGATTCTATTCATCACAAAGACACAACGCCTCTTTACCAGAGATCTGGATTTTAGGATTAGAAGAACAGCACATGTAAATGTTTTCTCCATATTTTTGCTCGGGTCGGTGTCGAAAATTATCAGTTTCGGCAAGATGATTAGCCCATTCCTGAGCAATGGAGCACAGCTGAAAACATTAAAAAATATATTTTTAGGCAAATTCTCAGAAATTAGAGTTGCATTTTACATTGAAAGGTACGACATATCCCAATCCACAAAAAAAATTTGGATTGACATTTTGCTTGTAGATTTGGTTTTTTTTCTCATTAAAGATGAAGAATGCTAGTAAAATCAGTATATTAACCCCTTCACTGAGGCTAGGAACATATATTTCCCAGTGCTCCCAGTAAAAGGTTGATACTGTGATATGAGGAATATTTTAAAGATTTTTTTCCTGTATCAAATACAAATACGTTGTTCGATTAGTTCATACAATAAATCGATGGATTTCAGTTTAGAAATAACATTTTGGGAGATGTAAGTTTCATTGTACATGAAATCCTTTATAGTTAAACATGTATACAAACAAAGGTTACATGAAGACAAATCCTCATTAGCTTTTATTTTTTGTTAATGTGTAAAAATGTTTCTGTAAACAAATAAACAACAAGGTAACGAAGAAGGCTGTTCGCACTAATTGCCGCAGCTCTACTGTATCAAAATATATATTCTAGATTTTGAATAAATACTGTTACGACAGCGGAAGTCACGTGACGCTAGTAACACGTCATGAGATTCTAGAAGGATCATGCCTGTTCGTGGAAACTTTAGTCTTTTCTACGCGCCCTCTATTTTTTATATATATAAGCCGGCAAATGAAGTGACGACAAAAAAGATAATTGCAGACAGAGAGAGATAGAGACAAATGATCGAGTAAAGTTGTAAGTGAAGTGCGTGAATCGTTGCGAATTCTAGCGTATGTTTAAGTTAAAGAGACTGTGG